GCCTTGTACATCTCGGAGGGATTGAGTTACCTCTTGCAGGTCTCGAATGGCTTCTTGATATCGAACATTTAAGCCTGAAAGCGCATCTTCCTTGCCTTGCGCCAAGGCGGTTAGGTGGTTAATTGTTTCTTCTGAAGCGCTCTTCAAGGCTCGAAGTTCAGATTCAAGCTTGGCATATTCCTGTGTGTATTGCCCATGTTCTGAATCCGAGATTCCGTGTATGTGTTGAAGTGCTATTAAGGCAGCTGTTGAAACATTCTGGGCTTTTCTGATCCTGCCCTCTTGTTCGTCGCGCGATTGATGTGATCGACTGATAACGTCTTCATAGGCACTAAGATCTTGGCGCAAGGAGCTAATATCCTCCTCTGCTGATTGAAGAAGGTGCAAGAACCGAGATTTCTGGTTCTCCAAGCGACGTTCGATAGCTGCATCTTTGGCTTGAAGTTCGAAGGTGAGGAACTCTACGCTTCCCCGAAGGGCATTCCTCTCTTCTCGGATTCGATCAAGCGCAAGCACAACTTTCGCCACCATGTCCAACTCTGATGGATCGCCAAAGTTGGGAACAGGTAGAAGGGAAGGTCGTGACCTTCTGGGAGCCCGTCGACTCTTGTCTTTATGTCCAGCGAGTTCCCTTTCAAGCTCCTGGACCCGCTCAAGCGCTTCTTCCCATTGCTGGCGCCTTTCTATGGCTTCATCAGCAGATGAACGGTTCGCAAACTCCTCCTGAAGATTAGAAAGCTCTCGATCAAGTTCTTCTGCTCTTCTCTCGGCTTCGGAGCACGACTTGACGATCTCGTGATACAGTTCCTGCTGCTGAGAGTTGAGACTTCGTTGCTTTCTAAGCTCAATTTCTAGCTCCGCAACTTGAGAACGGAGCAGTGCAATTTCCTTCTGATTGAACTGTGATTGAGGTTCTAGGAATCTGATAAGGTCAGGTTAGTGAGGACTAAACTCTTCCTGCTCCAATACTTACCGTATACGGGAGTTAGCCTTTGAAAGCTCGTCCTTAAGATCCTCTCGTTCGCTGAATAAACGGCCGACTTGTTCCAGCTGTGCCTCCAGTTCGGCACTGGACGACTCTCGTCGACGCAACTTCTCTTGAAGTGCTCGCAGCTCACGACCCCGGTCCTCTAGTTCATAACGTACAGCGAGCAGAGTCTCCCGACGACTAGAATTGCTCTGTACGAATGATAACGTGAGAAATGAACATTCATAGCAAGTTTGGAGTTGACATACCCCTTTGCTCTCTTTCAAAAGGGCAAGTTCCTTTAGTGCATCGGATGCTTCCTTCTTGGCAATAGCCAATTCTTGACTCAAGGACTCGACATCAGGGGCCGAATACATGTATTCATCAAGCTTCTCTTGTAACGTCTCGCATTGGGCAGATTTCCTATTTAGACGGTTAGTCAGGTCGATATTATCCACCTTGGCAGCCTGAAGTTGCTCCTCCGCACTTCGATAATCCTTGAGGACCTTTTCGTATTGTGCAATGTCGACGCTGTTTTCTCGATCCGGCTGAGAGAGTATTGGAAGGGAACTTAGTTGGTCCCTTGCCTCCTGTAGCTCGCTCTCGAGTTCGTCGATCCGTTGTTGTGCTTTTCGTTCCCCGGCTATCTTCTCATTTAGATATTGTGTCGCGTCGGCTTCTGCTTTTCGCATTTTAGCCTCTGCTCTCTTCACCTTTGATTTCTCCTCTGCGAGTTCTACCCGATATGACTTGATCTCGTCCTCGAGATGAGATGATCGTACTTCAGAGGAAGCTCGTGGTTGGCGTCCCTTGGGAACCGGGATCGAGGAATTTCGTGAGATAGGCCGTTCAACCAGACCACTTAGACGAGCATTTTCTAGTTGTAAGGCCTGAACTCTTCGCTCTAAGGAGCTCATCTTGTTTCTTTGGTCAACATCATTGTGTTTCGACGACATATCTTCAAGTTGATGTTGCAGTTGACGATGTTCTAGATCCTTGCGCTTGCACGAGTCCGATGCTGATTGGAGCTCTTTCTCGAGATTGACACGAGACATTTTCTCCCGTACAAGTTCCTATATGAGACGTTAGATGGAACTCGATAAGTGCTCGATGAACTACTGGCCTCTTTACGCGCCATCAGCGACTCTTCGAGGTCTGCAGAACGCGTAATCTCTGCTCTCAGCTTGTATATGTTAGCTCTAAGCCCTAAGAGCACAAGAAATTCTAGTTACCTTATTGGTCACATCATCGCGCTCTTGAGTGATGGTATCAACACGCTCCTTTAGCTTCAAGATTTCGTTTTGTAGATTTCCGAGATCATTATCTTTATAAAACTTGAGCAAAAACGCGTCCAGTAGCGTAGACGATGGGCTGGCAACTTACTCTTCTTCTCAAGGAGCCTGGAACCTGTCTCCGCGCTATAACGAGGTTTTCTCGCGTTTCTTTGATCGTCGGGCCAATTCATGGTATGTTGAGAGCGGATTGCCCGACAACGCGGGTTGCGTAGGTTCACGTGGTTGGGGTCAAGTTGAACTCCGCCTGAATCCAACACCATGGCTACCCGGCTGGGCGACGCCTTCCAAATTACCATAAAAAACATTCTGGATCCTAGCAAATTCTCTTCAAACCAGGAAGCTCTTGATAAATGGAGCGCCATACTCGTAGCCGCCTACTCCGAAACCCAACGGCATTATCACACTGTGGAACATATTAGGTCGATGCTCGATTCCACGAATTCTGCAGAAGACTCCGAGATACATAATAAAGATACCGTGGTATTAGCTATCCTATTTCATGAGTCAGTTCAAAAGATCGTGGTGTAAATCTTGACATGAACAGCAGAGTACGATCCCCAGCATTGTCTACGACCCTCAGTCTGAATTTAAGCAAAACGAACTCCAGAGTATCGACATGTGGAACGAATTTGCGAAGGAGCTCGCTCTGGCGCGTGACCATATACTCAGCTCTCCCTAAATGCTGACTGAGACTGATAGGATAACAGCATAGTGGAAGACGTTACGAAACTTATCGAAGCAACTATTACGCATTCCCTTCCTGCGAACTATCCAATGGATCTACCTTGGTTTCTTGATCTGGACCTAGAGGTCCTAGGGGTGTGTGAAATTGCCTGTCGTATCCATAATGAAATTGACTATAATTTAGAGATCAAGAAAAGATTATATCATTTATGCTTCACAAATACGGGAGGAATACGCACACTACTCAATTGATGAGTACTGCAAGGGGCGTACTAAAGTCCTTCAAAGGCTTCTATCAGGCAGTATTTATTTCACGGACTATTGGAAAAGTCGACTTATGGATACTGCTCGAGTGAATATGCAGTGGGAGATCGAGCAGCTCACAAACGGTGTAATACCTTCGCCAGAGCTATCTGTTTTGTAAATAAATATAAAAGAAAAAAATTATTTCTCAAATTACAAAAGGCGCCAAGTCATCCTAGTCGAGAAACCTGCGTCATTCTGTACGAAAGCTCTTCACTTGGTTCCGACCACACGGGGTGGCGAGAGCAGGTCAACGAAAATGGGTCCGTGACCATTCCTCTATGCCTAGTAGATGTCTTTTCAGCTAATAATGTGCTTAGAGCCCCAGATCGCGTTTCCAACCAGGGATGAGCCACTAATCCTGCCGGCGTCCTCTGCGGCGGCTGTACGACGACCAACGCATCTGCCATTTAGGAGAATTTCAATGCCCACGGTGCCCTCTCCAGCTACTATGGCTCAAATAAGACCCATAAATACGAGCCAGCAACAGGATCGTCGGCTCTCAGTGACCTCGCAGCAATCGTTCGAGTCGATGCAGGAGAACCATCCCTCTCAATCACAACTCCAGCCGGGATCAAACGCTACACCCTCGGGGGTCCCTAGACCAAGGAGAATGACGTCGAGACCATCGAGCCTGCAGCCCCCGCCGAAGGCTTCAGCACTTGCGCAGGCCAATGTGGTGAAGCGTAACAAGGTACTTCGCGAGTTATTGGACACTGAGAGAACCTACGTTGAAGGGCTTGAATTGATCAGTGAAGTGAGCCAATACCCTTCGTGCAATATGCTCTTGCTAACACAGAATCCTAGCACTTCCTGAACCCCCTGGTTCAGGCAACCACTGAGGGACAACCATTACTATCGCCGGGACAATTGTCCTCTGTATTCTCTAATTTTGTTGACATGCTAGGTTTTCATCAGACCTTCCATGCCACCTTAAACGAGTACCTCGGTCCTTACGTCAAACCTAATCAACCTCCGAGTTCCTTTGTCTTGTCCACTTCTCCATCTTCTCGGTTGCAACAGCCGCCTACCGCTTCGGGATCGGAATCCCCTCCTATAGCACGTCTATTAGCAAAACACATTCCTTTCCTTAATATGTATATGCCGTTCGTCACAGCGTACCCAAATATTGTCGCGTCCTTACACAGCCTAACCTCACCTCAATCTCCCAAATTCTCTCCACAATTTACATCGTGGTTGAAGGAGAGGGAAGCCCACCCAATTTGCAAAAAGATCCGACTACAGGACTGGTTGCTTATCCTAATCCAACGTTGTCCACGCTATCAACTCTTGCTCAGGGATATCATCAACTATACAGACCCCATAGATCCCGAATATGTAGAGTTGGAAGAAGTATCAAAATTGTTGGCTAAAGGTGAGTCTCAAGGCGGACAGTTGGTCTCAAACTAACCGATGCTGCTAGTAACATTATCTCTCAACACCTCAATGGCCGATCAAGATAATACTTTTCAATTGTTGGATATCCAAAGGGCTACACCGAACCTTTCTTTCCCGCTCATTGAACCAGGCCGCAAATTTATTCGCCGGGGCTCTCTGTTCCAGGTCGCAGATCGTGTCGAACGATTCCGTGAATTTATTCTGTTCTCCGACTGTCTAGTTTGGCTCTCAAAAGGAGGAGAAAGGGAAAGTCCTATGACCACTGAAGAGGAGCAGTTCAAGCAATCTGTCATACAGTTATCTTCCAGCCCATCGACCAATGCTCTATCTCGCCGTCTAAGTGAGATAGAAAACGCATCGCCTAGAAGAGGACCATCCACCGCATCGGGTCCTAAACGTCCTAACAGTACACATCACCAATCAGAAGAACAAAGGTGGTGGTTTAGAGGAAAAGTAGATTTGCTCGACCTGGATATTGTACTCCCAGTTCCCTCCTTCGGCGAAGAAGGAAAAATAGAGGTTCACTCACCCCACTTGTCGTTCTCCCTCTTTTGCTGTCAGTACCCTTTTCCTTCTGTTATATATCACTAAATGCGAAACAGATTCTATGGAGGATCGTGAGGCTTGGGCTACCGACATTCGTTCAGCCAAGCAATCACGACTCGTTGCCATGAACTCTACGAATCCAAACTCGACACTCACGTCTTCTTCTTCCACTCAGCATCTTCGTACGGCCCTCCGAGCCATCCCCTATGCGCCAGACCCAGAGAACGTTTCCATCGCTGTTGATAAGAAGAAGCCTTCAAAGAAAGACAAGGCTAAAGCTCGTCCAGATAGACGACCACTAGAGTATTATTCACCTCCTCTGTGGGTTCCGAACTCAAAAGCCGATTCCTGCATTCGATGTGGAGGCGTTTTCAATTGGAGGCGTCGCCGTCATCACTGTCGGTTATGTGGGAATTGTGTTTGTGCCAACTGTTCGGGAAAGGTTCGTTGTCATCACCGCTAGTGCTCTGGCGCTGACTTTACTCGTATAGACATTCTTTACTGTCAAAAAAGTTGGCACAAAAGAAAGTTTTGAGGCCGCTCGAGCATGTAACAGTTGCTACGAGGCTGTATTTCCTATCGTCGACTCTGATAGCATGGATGAAGATCCCACACCAGAGCACCGGGCACACTATTCGAGTATCGGTACACTCACTGCGTTACCTTTTTCAAAATCTACGCCATCGCTCGCTCTCCTCACAGGCCAGGAAACGAATGCCCGTCCCATTCCAATTCCAATGAAATATGAATTACCTGTCCCAGTCAAAGCAGACAATAGACCGGACAATGAACGCCCCAAATCAGGGCTAGACTTTTTACCTATGTCAAGACCTAAATTACCGGGAAGTAGAACCCCGAGTGAATTTAGACTATCCTCCTATTCGCCT